GCTGCAGACAGGCGTTTAAGGACCTGCCATTGCAGCTTCGTCCGCTGACATTGGGACGCATCGGCGATGACACGAACACCCGCCCCTTTGGCCAGCGATGTTTCGATGTTTTCACGCAAACCGGGCAATCGAAACTATAGGGACGGACATAAATGATGTCCTCGCTCGTGCCTGCACTGGGCGGCCTTCCTGTCAGGAATTCCGCCTCGCAGGAGGGCGGGTTTCTGACCGAGGGGCCTTTGCTAAGCCTGTGCGGCGTACGTGCAGCGATAGTCTTGGCAGCTGCTCCTCTCTGGGCAGCGTCGGCCTGCGTGGGAACGCTCACGACTGCTGAGGGTGCTGCGGCCTGGACACGACCCGCAAGCCCCTGAAAACAGGAGAGCCCGCGGCTCTTTGCCGCAAGTTGAGAAAAGCAGCTGTCGCGAGCGCCACCTTACCCTTGGCGATAGCTTCCAGCGGTGGAGCCTGCCATCGAGTCCGTGAGAATCGTTCCTGCGCCGCTACGGGCCGCGTTCGACAGCATGAGGCCCTGGGCCTTGGCGGAATCGACTGCGGCATCGCAGTGCCCGCAACGGCCCTCGGCGAGAAATGCCCTGCAGCCACACGCTGCGGATTCTTCGCCACGCTGCGGATTCTTCGCCTAGGTGCACCCATACTTTGTGGACTGCGCCCTTCTTGGCGCCAGTCACTTGGAACGTGGCTTCCGTTCCCACCAGCTGCACGAGCTGCGCCGAGTGGGCCGCAGAATTGCCGTTGCGAAGGTGGGCAATCCTGTTAGGCCCTGCTCAAAAACCACAGAGCAGCTCCGCCGACGATCATCGTCATCAGAGTGACCGTCGTGCCGGCGACCCACGCGGTCCGCCTGGCACCTTGGCCGAGTTCCTCGAGGACTTCAGCTGAGCCTATTGAAGGCTGTGCGGGTGAGGCAGGCAGGGCCTCGCGGAGGCAGAACAAGGCTTGGCAGGGGCGGCGTGGAGCGAACCGCACTGAAGGGGAACCACGCCGTGCTGGTCCTAGGGTTAAGCGCGGCAATGATGCCCGCGGCAAAGGCTCCCCACGAGTACTTGCCTTTGCCTTTGGGCTTCCCTTTGCCCTTGCCCATTCTGCTGGCCTTTGCCCTTGCCACGGGCTTCGGACCAGTCGCTGCAAGCGTCGCGACCTTTCCCGTAGGTCGCTTCTTCTCGGCGGCGTTTACCGCCCCGCCGCTTGCGCTTGTTCCTAAGGAACGGCTGCAGCGTCTCAAGATCCATCGCCTGATTTGCGACGTCGATCTCAAAATCGAGGGCCTCCTGACTCGTGTCTGAGAGGTCGTCTCTCCCCCCTTCTGCTCTCCGCGGATCGGGGATCCCGCGAGAGACGACTTCCGCGAGCCTGAGCCGAGTGCTGCAGCGGAAACAAAGCTGGGGGAAGGAGAGATTCCACTTGAGGCAGTTCGGGCACTGCCAGCCCGCGATGCGGAGCGCCTGGTTGATGGCGTCGTCCCGGCTGGCTTTCTCCTCAAGGCGTCGCTCCTTCCGCGCGGCCTGTTCAGCGGCCCGCGCATCTTCGATTGCTTGGAGGTGCTCTGCGAGCTCCTCGTCTGAAAGCAATCTAGCGGCGTCCGCTCGCTCCTGTTGCGCCAGCAGTTCTTCTTCAGAGAACCTGCTGCGCCATCGCTCCGGCGCTGTTCGAGGATCGATCTCACGCGTATCCGATCCGTTGGCTTTGTGGAAGCGGCCCCCATCTTTGCCGCGGCGGAACAAGTGTCCCCACCAGTCTTGGCGAAGGGGGTCCAGCGGCGCAGTTGGGCTAACGCCGAGGTCTGCCGGCAGCGGCGCAGAGTGGCAAGCCGACTGGTGCAGGTGGTACTGCGTCAGGGAGGCAAAGACCAGAGCGCAGCCTGGGGCACTGCAAGGATAGTACCCGTCCGCGTCAGGCGCCGGATCGTTTTTTGCCGGCCGCGCAGGGGCTGAACTGCTTGACTCCGCTACTTCTGGCGGGTCCTCCCCTCCGTCCGACAGTTCTCCGGCGCTGGCGCCGGCGCCTTCTTCGGCCGCCTGGTCGTCTCGCGTCGCAAACCTCACGCGAAGGGTCTTAACCTTGACCCTAGCCTCCTCCTCCTTGACCCTAGTCTCTTCCTCCTTTGCCTCTCGCTTGAGCACTTCGTCGAGCTCCGTCAACTTTTGCTCGGCCAGCTCCAGAACGCGGCTCTGGGCCCGCTGAGCACGGAGGAGGGCATCGGAGGCAGCTGTGTAGTCCTCCGCACGCTGGACTACCATCCGGCCCAGTGCGAGGACTTCGGCACCACCTCCTTTTTGACCGCGGCTGCTGGATCCCGCGTGTCGAGGAGCTCTGATTCGAGCTTGACTCCTCGGCAGCGGCAGCATGCTCGCGCTCGGCCTGCTCTTCCGCCTCTGAATCCTCTTGATCCAGGGCGTTAGGCTTGGGGAGGTTCCTACGCGGGTACATGCGCGTCTTTGGCCGCGGAGCAGCCTTGGGCGGCGTAGTCGGGCGGTCTCCCGCGGTCGTGGCACAGCCCGCAGCGGCCTGTGCCTCCGCCTTGGGACGCGGCGTGTCACTGGAACTCGCTGCGGCCGGCTGGCCCGCAGGGCTGTTCCCAAGGCGCATCAGCCGAACCAGCCCACACTGAGCTCCGCGACTTTAAGGCTGTACTCGCCTGACCTTGGCGGAAGAGCCCATATACGGGTGATGCTTGTCGGCCTGACTAGTCAGGCCGACACCATCGGCTCCGCAGTAGATTCCCATGTCGGCGTCCCGGAGGACCGCCAATTCGACCTTGCGTCTGAAACCGCGACGGCCATCTTCCCACTGCCAAGGACATAGTGCACCGCTAGGCGGCCTGACGGTCTGCGATGATGCCGTCCAGGCAGTGCACGTCGGTCCCGTGCCACATGCTGGGACCGTGCGTGGCTATCAGGCCATCTATAGCGGCTTCGGACAAGCCCGCCATCATGTAGGAGATGTGGTGTCCTGAGTCTTCACTGTGGCCCGAAGCCAGCCTTCGGACACACAGGACTGGTCGAGGCGTGGCTTCCTCTGACGGGAGTCGACCGAAGCATGCTTGAACGAAGCCTCAGACTTCAAGGCGCGGAGGAAGGCGCAATCGCCGCGGTTCTCTCGCTGCACGCAACAGCCAAATATGTGATTGAGTCAGGGGGGAGATCCTCCAACATACACACGATGCGAGGCATCAGACAGGGGTGCCGACTTGCACCGGCCCTCTGGGCTATTTTATCGGCCCAACTCCTCCAAAATCTGCAAAATCACATAGGGCCTCATGCAGCTCTTCCATTCACGGACTTTGCTGACGACACTCTCGGCCATTGGCTCATCAACGGCCTCGAAGAACTGCAGATTGCCCAGCAGCAGGCAGCCCTTTTTCTACAACTTCTACAACAATACGGCCTTAAACTTAATGAAGACAAATCAAAAATTCTGTTTAAATTCAGCGGCAGATGTGCGGCGCAGGCCACTCGCTCGAGAATCACTATGCGCAAAGAAGTGAAATGTTGGACAATACCAACTGCAGCACATGTCTTCAAGATTCCCATTGCCGCAGAAATCCAATACCTGGGGGTTGTAATCAGTGTGCGCCGACTTCGGATCTGGCAGACCTGCGTTTTGACCAGCGCGCTTCATGGTCTCCATGCCCTCAAACTTGGAGGGCCTGATGCCCTCAAGCTGTCACAATGGTTTCATAGACAGGTTAGAGCAAATTAACGCACCTTCCAGCTCACCTCACCAAAGTGAGCAACGCAGAACTAAGACAAAAATTTAACCTTGAAGACCCCGTCACTATTCTTCTGCACAGAGCAGAACAGAAGCTCGGCAAAGTTCAAGCCAATCGGAAGTAACCCTGCTGCTATCAGTGAATGGGCTGACATTGTAGCGCACTACAAAGCGTTGCTCGCTGCTAGCCAAGCAAAGATTGTCGAAATGTCGGACGCTCGAACTGAGCTCTATCATGCATGTCCTGAATGCGGCCTCTACTCTACTTTCCAACGGCCAAAACGCAAAGGCAGCATTTAGCCCGCAAACATGGCATCAAAGTCACCAAGATTGAAAACGTACAATTTGATGTTGCCAAACATGCTAAAAATGGTATGCCACAATGCCGCTTTTGCAGTACTAAGTTCAGCTCAATGGAGGCACCTCGCTCACATGTGCTTCGAAACACGTGTGAGTGGCACCACAGCGAAAAACCAACCGACCCCTTGAAAGAGCGAGCCGACACTCCGGCCCAGTCGCATAGCAGCAATATCACAACCGGGAGGGACATGCCAGCTCACACCTCCACACAAGCCGGAACACCTGAGCAGAATCTCTGCACAAATGTTGATGATGCGACTACCGCATTTTATTCAGCCACGCCTGTAGACATGAATAATCACAGTCCCACAGAGCAGATCAGCTACGCTGAAACCTCAGCTGACCAGCTCAGACATCACTGTGCCCTTTGCAATCACTGGATGGTCGACATGAACGGCATCAAAACGCACATCCTGCGCAAACATGCCAGCGTTTGGCATAAGTGTAATCCCACCATTAGTCAAGCTCTTGAGATCTTCAAAGACACCCTAATAAGAGATGCGCCCTGTCCCTACTGCACCAAGACAGTTTACGGGGTCTCACGACATGCCATACAGTGTCCAGTCCTTATGCAGATTGCACTTGTCATGCGTGTTTTGGATCTCAAGGTTGATGTCTACTCTGCAAGCTCGCGCCACAGTCGATCAGGCGCGCCGACTGTTGCAGCATCCTGCAGAAGCGGTGAGCTCTGACCAGGTTCCACTTTTGCAACTCAGCTGCCACATGTGCGGAGACTAAACATCCTGACTCCTACAAGACTTTTGAAGCTCTTTCCTCGCAACATTTGGGCACAATCGACCTTGGCCGGCCATGCCCCTTTTGCCAAACTGAATATCAGAAGACGCCCAAGGTGCACGTCTACAAGTGCTTGCCACTCCTTCAGGTAGTGGCAGTTTTACTTGCTGGTCCCAATGACCAGCGCAGAGGCGCAAATTGCAGCTCTCTGGGGAAGTCAGACGGCCCTCAGCACGGCCCCAACACCCTTCGGGGGGGCGCCGAAGAAGCAAAGAAGAGCCGAGCCATCGAATCCAAAACGACAGCCAAAGCCCAACAAGAGCGAGAGGGCCATCCCGGACCTGGACGACGAGACGGAGGAGGAAGAACTCCTACAAGACCGTCCCAACAAGAGCCTGCAAAAGTTGCTTGTCCAGATGATCCTTCGCCACGAGTTCTCCTTGCAGATGTTGGAGGCGGACCGAACATTCCGTCTTTACTTTCTCACCAAGGACAGCGCCGTTCTCCCGCAACTTCACAAGACCTCGCTGGACTGGAAGGAGAAGCACGAACAAGGTCTATGCGACCCACTACGCACGGCACTGATGGGGGTTCTCATGCTAGAGCTCAAGGCAAGACTGGAGAAAACGACCGAAGAGGGCCTGAGCAAACTCTGCAGAGATGCCAACTGGCTGACGCTGGACAACAAGTGGCGGCACCTGGCTTGGAATGTGAAGGATCAAAAAATGCTGCCTACCGACCAGGAGCCAGTCGAGCACCGCAAGGTCATGGACTGCATTCTGCAGATTGCCAAAGAGGTCGTGAAGCCAGGATTGGTGCATCGCTTTCACTCACTACGTCCACTACAAGATCTGGCAGCCACTCAGCTGGTGGGGCTACGTCTCAGGCAAGCACGCGTCAAGCCAAGCAAACTGGCGGAGGCAGTCAAGAAGGCCAGCAGACGTTGAACTGCTTCTTTGGTTTGGGAGCCAACCAGCCCTCGGCCCCTGCTGGGGAGCCGCAGCAGAATCCTTTGCGTGACTCAGTACCTGAGTCATCGCGGTCAGCCACATGCGCAGCCTCGGGGAGCAAGGACATACCACATGTCCGTACAGGGGGGGGGGGACTCTTCTTCTTTAAGAGACCGCAATGGGGACACTGCTGCTCTCGAGACAGCGCAACAAGCCACCGCTGCTGCAACAGGCCGCAGCCACTGGCGCGAGAGAATCGTCCTAATTAACCGGCACAATCAGTGCTACTTGAACTCCACTGCCTTGCTTATTAGCAGTATCAGAGCTCATGTCAGTTCCCAAGTAGGAGAGATTGATGCCCTGTATCAGGTACCCACGACTGATTCCCAGATGGACTTGTTCCAGCAGGAAGGATGGAAGGCACTGCTCAAAAAACTGGAAGAAGAGGCCTCGACAACAGCATGATGTTACTGAGCTGCTTCACTTCATCTCTTCTGCGCTGCAAGGTCCGGCTATGGAGGGAGAATGGGCAATCAATCGCCCAACTCTCAGCTCCCCACTGAGACTCTTGGATCACTCGCCGACTAGTCCTTACATTACCATGAATTTTGATGGCGACATGGAACTTCAGGAAGTTATAAACGGTTGGAAGGGAAGTGCACATGTGACAGCACTGATCAGTGCACCTGAGATTCTTCTCATCAGCTTATAGCGCGCTTCCAGTTCTCTGGCAATCGTGTCAGAAAAAAGCGCAATCGCATACAACTTCAGCGCAGGGCGGTCATGCCCGTTTTTGACGCAAGGAGAAGCCTTACGGCCACCACAGGTGAGCCGAGAGCCCGACCCAAATAGGCTCGTGCAACTCATGATGCTCACTGCTCCCTCATTGGGGGCATCATTCACATAGGCGACCTAGCACACACAGGGCATTACCGAGCTTTTGAGATCGCTTCCATGACAGGCATGCCAGAAGAAACTGAAGATGCCATCAGCGCTGCTGGCATCATCATTCATGATGACAACCGTAGACCAGCTGTGGCCACAAGAGCTTAGCTGAATCAGATACACAACAATGCCTACGTCATTGCTCTTAGGAAGTCCTAGGTTTGTTGACGGCATTACGATGCTCAACATTTTATCCGTAGTATGCAGCACTTAGGTGCCATACTGCTTCCGGCAGGGCTAAAACAGCCCACTGGTCTTAATGACCTTGCCCGCTAGACTCGAGACTCTTGTGCAGCGTGCTTGACTCTTGTACAAGGTTGCGTGGGAAATGTTCGTTGTATACGTGCATCTGGGCGTCTTTTTGTTGTACTGTGGAGGTCACTTCGGCTTCCCTACCTTTTGGAGTTGATTTCTTGCCCTCTTCTTGTGTCTCCAAATCCACACACCTTTCACCACCTACACACTTCCACACTTGAACAGCCAGCAGAACCCAGCCGACATACACGCAAACGCACACCACCCACGAAAGCCACTTTGCACCCACATAATGACACACACCACACTCCATGACACACACGACTCTGCCAAAACGCCGACAACCACAACACACCCATTCACAATGAAAAAAACAAGGTAAATACACACAGACACTGTTTTTTGATTTGGTGTCACTTCTGAAACTCCATGCGTGACCACCCTTTACCTACACACTGAAGCTTTCCTTGCACACTAAAGCCAAAGACATGCACCCGCAAACCAACCCACTTTGCAACCACAATGCTCACACACACACAACACTCTTGCACATGCACACTCAGAAAAAACAGCCGAAACCACAAAATGCACATTCTTATGGATCTCTTAAGTTCCGATTGCAATTTTTTTCACTGTCTTTCTGGTTAATCGACAGCTTACAGGGCTGGCAGCACTTACCAAAACACTTGCTGAACGATCTGTTTGTGTTTTAGTTCAGGGCGGTTTCTCGAAACTCTCTCTTTCTGAAGCTTGCAACTTAACCGAGAGATCATTCCAACAAAAAACAAAGAAAACATCAAGCAAAAAGCAAGAGAAAAATTCTGTTCAGACGGGCAAAGGCAATTTTGAACTGAAAAAAAAGAGTGTTGCTGTGCATGAATCTGCTGCTGAATCTGAAAAAAGTTGTCGAAGTTTCATGAATCTGGCTTCTTTCCAGTGTTTTCTCGATTTCTCCAAAGTTCAAAAAGAAAAACCAATGTTTTTGCAGTTCTTGCTCACATTGAAAAAAAAATCACACTGACCTCTTCTCATTCATGGCCAGAATTACTTAAGAGTCGCAGCCTCGATTTTCCATTCCATTCGACTTTTTTGACAAAGCTTCGATTGCGTTCTCTTGTCTTTGATTTTCCAAAATGGCCAAACAGAAATTCAAGGCACACTGAAATTTGACAGAAGATTGAGAAACTCTGCTTTCTTTCAGGCTGGGTGCCCTTCTTTGTCTTTCGCAATTCTTCCCTGGATTCAGCACCATTCAACGAATTTTCAAAATTTCTGAAGTCTCCGAAAATGTTGAAAAAAACCCTCAAAATCAACACTTGATCAGTTAAATTTGTTGAATTTACTCTGGTGTTTCGCTCGCTTCGCTCGCACTTATTCACATTCTGGTAATACACTTTGCAATTTTCAAGTGGTTTGGCTTGGGCGTCGCGCGCAACCTTAACGAATTAACACCACGGTTGAACTCGTCTCGTCCTGCAGTTGATTTCTGTCCAAACGGCACTGTCAGAGGCTTTTAAAAACACTTGTTTCAAAGCATTGAACTTTTCCAAGCTGTTTCCACCGATGTTGACTCTGCACCCTTCTTTTATCCTCTTCTGCCTTCAGGCCTTGCACCAAAACCTGGAGAATCTGAAACCCAAGATGAGGGGCAGCAAAGTTGATCGAAAAGGTAGGGAAGCTCCAGTGACCTCCACAGTTAGAGAAAGTTCCGGTTCCAAACAAGTTCACACTTTGCCGCCTTGCTGCCTGCTGTTCTAATTTTGGGGGAAGACTGACACAGGACTTAGACTGGAACCGACTGAGAGGCTTATTTGTTTTACTCGCAACGAGGAGCTGTGAAAGCCAGATCTGGCTTCCCGTGTGTGAAAAAAACGCCACAACTGGGCCCAAAAATGGCTCCTAAACTTGGGTTCCAATTTGAGGCTCCAACCTGGGTGGCCTTGTATGTTCACACAGGAAATCCAAAATCTAGGGCCCGTTTTCGGTGCCCAGAATTGAGCTGCTTTTGGAACCCATTTGAGTTCAATAATAATTGAAATCAACTCACAGACAAACAAGATTTTTTCTATTCGATACTGTTTGCATCAAGGAAAACAAAAAACGCCGTCGATACGCGTGTTCTTGGCTTGCTAAACTTGTCTTTAGCTGGCATTCAAGACAAAGCAGTCTTGCATTGTTCTTTCTCGCACTGTGGAGGTCACTTCGGCTTCCCTACCTTTTTGGGGTTGATTCCTTGCCCTCTTTTTGTCTCTCCAAATCCACACACCTTTCACCACCCGCATACTTCCACACTTGAACAGCCAGCAGAACCCAGCCGACATACACGCAAACACACGAAGCCACTTTGCACCCACAAAATAACACACACCCACACTCCATGACACACACGACTCTCTTACCCACAAAACGTCGAAACCACAACACACCACACCCATTTACAATGAAACCCAAGTGAACACACAAAGACACCACTGCAAGGTGTCACTTCTAAGACTCCATGCCTCACCACCCTTTCCTTGCACACTGAAGCCAAAGACATGCACCCGCAAACCAACCCACTTTGCAACCACAAATGCTCACACACACACATCCACAACTCTTGCACATACACCTCAGAAAACAGCCAAAACCACAACACGCACATTCTCATTCTCATGAATATCTTTCAGTTCCGACTGCGATTTTTTTCACTCTTTCTGGTCAATTGACAGCTTGCCAGGCTAACAGCACTCACCAAAACACTTGGTAAACGATCTGTTTGTGTTTTGGTTCTGGGGTTTCTCGGAACTCTCTCTCTGAAAGCTTGCAACTAAAACCGAGAGATCATACGAAAAAAAAACAAAGAAAACAGCAAACAAAAAAAGCAAGAAAAAATCTGCTCATCTAGTAGTACGGACAAAGACACAGAGCTCATTTGAACTGACAAAAAAACAACAAAAAATGTTTGCTGTGTATAAATCTTCTGCTGACTCTGAGAAAATTGTCCAGTTTTCACGACTGGATTCCAGTTGGTTTTTCTCGATTCTCAAAGTTTCAAAAAAAACATTGGAAAAAAACTTTTTCACACTACTCTCACTATGCCAGACCAACTTGAAAGTCCCGCCCAGCCTCGAGTTCCTTCCAGTTTCGACGTTTTTTTTTGACAAAGCTTTGACTGGGTTCTCTTGTCTTTGATTTTCCAAACAAACAGAAATTTAAGGACAGAAAATAAACTCTGCCTTTCTGGCTGGAGTGCCCTCAATTCTTTGTCTTTCGTTTTGGTTGCGTGTTGCAATTCTTCCCTGGATTCAGCACCATTCAACGAATTTTCAAAATTTCTAAAGTTTCCGAAAAATGTTGAAAAACCCTCAAAATCAACACTTAATCAGTTAAATTTGTTAAATTTACTCTGGTGTTTCGCTCGCTTCGCTCGCACTTATTCACATTCTGGAAATACACTTTGCAATTTTCAAGTGGTTTGGCTTGGGCGTCGCGCGCAACCTTAACGAATCAACACCACGGTTGAACTCGTCTCGTCCTGCAGTTGATTTCTGTCCAAACGGCACTGTCAGAGGCTTTCAAAAACACTTGTTTCAAAGCATTGAACTTTTCCAAGCTGCAGTTTCCACCGAGCCATTTAAAAAAACATGTTGCATTTTCAAGTGTTCTTGTTGACTCTGCACCCTTCTTTCTCCTCTTCTGCCTTCAGGCCTTGCACCAAAACCTGGAGAATCTGAAACCCAAGATGAGGGGCAGCAAAATTGATCGAAAGGTAGGGAAGCTCCAGTGACCTCCACAGTTAGAGAGAGTTCCGGTTC